GTACATTTTAGAGTATGTATTAGGGTACTTTTGACAGTATGTAAGTGGTTAGGGTACATGTTATTGTATTTGTTAAGGTCAGGGTTTTTGTTTTTGTTAGGGTATGTTAGTGTACAGTCAGGGTACATGTAAGGGTTACCTGTGTGGGTTATAGAGTATGTGTTAAGGTACTTGTTACCATGTGTGTTAGTGTCTGGAGCATGTTTAGTGTGTTAGAGTGAAATACTGTTGGAGAATCTGATAGGGTTAAGGTACGTGTTAAAGTTAAGACACATATTAGGATTTATATTACTTTGGGGTACATGTTACTGTGTTTGTAAGGGTACTTGTATGGTTTACAGTATGTGCTTGGGTACTTGTTAGGATATGAGTTAGTGTTTTGAGTACATGTTAGGAATCATTTTAGGGCATTTGTGGTACACATGTTATTGTACATATAATACATGTGTGACTTTAAGTACATGTTAGAGTACTTGTTAGGGCATGTGTTAGATTTAGGGTACATGTTAGGGTTACATTTATCGTTGGCGTTAGGCAATATGTTAGGATGTGTGTTAGTATAACTGTAGGGTACTTGTTATGGGTGTAAGATTTAGAGTATGTGATAGTGATTAGAATGTGTGCAATGGTTAGACTATATGTTAGGGTATCTGCTAAGGTTTATGTTATGGTTGGGGCATATATTAGTGTATGCTTGTGGTACATGTCAGGGTCCATGTAAGAGTCATCGTTACAATACATGTTAGTGTTTAGAGTATATATTATGGTGTATATTATGATAAGAATAAGGTGTATGGTACACTGCTGGTTTGTGTTAGTCTTAGGGCGTGTGTTAGGGTTAAAGTATGTGTTAGGGTATATATTAAGGGCACAGGTTAGGGATATGTGTTAATACACAAAAGAAGTAGATGTTTGGGTATATGTAAGGGTGGCTGTAAGGTTGAGAGTTAGGGTAATTGTTCCTGTATGTGTTAGTGATTAGGGTTAGGGTTAGAGTATGTGTTAAGGTTAAGTTATGTGTTATGGCACATGTTAGAGTGCATTTGGGGTACATGTTAGGGTATATGTATGGATACTTGTGTGGTTTACAGTATATGTTCAGGTATGTGTTCAGGGTTCTAGTACATGTTAGGATTAAGGTACGTGTAAGGGTTAGCACACATGTTAGGGTATTTCTTAGGGTTATAATTTGGGTTAGAGTTAAGGCATGTTTGAGGCACATGTCAGTGACAGGATTCCAAAACTTTATGGTTTAGAGTGTGTTAGGCCACTCCATGGCCTCAGCAGTTGTGGGGTTGGTTTGCTCAGAGTCCGTGCCCTATCCAGCTCGATGGTGTGGGCCCTGCTATGCTTAACTTTGGGGGAGACTAGAGACTGGAATGAGCGGTCAGATTTGCTTTCACTCTGTTTACGCACCTGCCATGCATGCACACGTGAGGATATGGGTGGGTATTGTGTGCTATGTATCTCTGTGGAAATTGGACCCAGCTTAAGCAGGTTTGATGAAAGATGGCCATCTACCTCCAAGCATGCAGGTAAGTCTGGTAAGTATCAGGGTGTGTGTGGGGTTGGGATTTAGGTTAAGATGCATGTAAAGGTACCCATATGGTTTGGAGTATATGTTAGCATACTTTTTACCTAACATGTTAGGATTTAGAGTACTTGTTAGAGTATGTGTATAGAATATGTTATGTTTAGGATTTGAGTTAAGGTTAGGGCATGTGTTAGGATATGCATTGGAGTATCTTAAGGGACGCGTTAGAGTGCTTGTAAGGTTTAGAGTGTGTGTTTAGGTACTTGTCGCTGTACATGTTAGGGTGTGTATTAGGATATGTGTTAATAGTGAGGCTATTTGTTAGGTTATTTGTTAGGGTTAGGGCTTGTGTGTGGGCACAGGTTAGGGTTAAGCTACATGTAATGGTATTGTTTGAGGTTTAGAGTATGTGGTAGTGGTTAAGATTTGTGTTGTGTAAAACAGCTAGAAAAACAAGAAAAAATGGACCCTAAAGTTACTAGACAGAGCCAGATAACCAAATTAAGAGCAGGGATTAACCAATTAGAAAATCAGAAAATTATAGCCCAAATTAACCAAACAAAAAGCTGGTTCTTTGAAAAAATAAACAAAATTGATGGATCGTTGGCAAGATTAATTACAAAAAAAAAGAGGAAACCCACATTAACAGGATTAGGGAAGCCACGGGAAAAATCACTACATGTACCTAAGATATCCAAACAATCCTAATGGACTACTTTCAAAAGTTATACTCTCAAAAGAAAGAAAAGCTGGCAGAAATGGATGCATTTTTAGAGAAATAATAAGCCAATATCCTACAACGAGATACAGGAAGTTATCAAAAGTCTTCCACCAAAAAGAAAGCCCAGGACCAGATGGATTCACAGCAGAATTCTATAAGACCTTTAAAGAAGAACTAATACCCATACTCCTCAAGCTCTTCAGAGAAACAGAGAAGGAGGGAGCTATCCCAAACTCATTGTATGAAGCCAATATCACAGTCATCCCCAAACCAGGCAAAAACCCAACCAAAAAGGAGAATTACAGGTCAATTTCCTTGATTAACACAGATGCAGAGATCCTTAACAAGAGCTAACAGAATCCAGAAACACATAAAAAAATCATACACTATGACCAGGTAGGCTTCAGCCCTGAGATGCAGTGATGGTTTAACATACGTAAGTCAATAAATGTAATCCAACACATCAACAGAGCCAAGGTCAAGAATCACATGATTATCGCCACAGATGCAGAAAAGGCCTTTGATAATTCAGCATTCATTCATGCTAAAAGCTCTGGAGAAAATAGGAATCGAAGGAACATTTCTAAAAACAATAAAAGCCATTTATGACAGACCAATAGCCAATATTATACTTAATGGGGAAAAGCTACAACCAATTCTCCTAAAATCAGGAACAAGGCAAGGATGCCCACTGTCTCCACTCCTCTTCAATATAGCCCTGGAACCCTTAGCCAGGGCAATAAAGCAAGAAAAAGACATTAAAGGGAAACGCATAGGGAAATATGAAGTTAAACTATCTTTTTTTTGCAGATGACATGATACTATACTTTCAAGATCCCAAAAACTCCATCCCCAAACTCTTAGAAATCATAAATCACTTTGGCAAAGTAGCAGGATACAAAATAAACCCTCAAAAATCAGTTGCCTTCCTGTACACTGACAATGTACAAGAAGAGAGGGAAATAAAGGGAGCAACCCCATTCACAATAACCTCCCCCAAAATAAAATATTTAGGAATTAACCTAACCAAAGATGTAAAAGAACTATTCAATGAAAGCTATAAAAATTTAAAGAAATTGCAGAAGACACTAGGAAATGGAAAGACCTCCCATGCTCTTGGATAGGTTGACTTGATGTGAAGATGGTAATACTGCCAAAATTAATATACAAATCCAAAGTAATTCCTATTAAAATCCCAATGACGTACATAACTGAAATACAGAAAACAGTCCAAAAATTCATATGGAACAACCAAAGACCTAAAATAGCCAAAACAATTCTAGGGAATAAAGACAATTCAAACTCTACTACAGAGCTATAATAACAAATACAGCATGGTACTGGCACAAAAACAGACCCGAAGACCAATGGAACAGAATAGAAGATCCAGAAATAAATCCACAG